TCCCAAAGCAAAGATCCTGGGGTTTCTCCTTCATCTCCCTTTCAGAGCATTCTGCAGTGTGCTATTAAGAAACATTCAGCAGGGCATATCCAGTCATTTCTATGGGATGGCAAGAGGGAGTGTACTACACCAGAGGCTTAAAATTGCGCCCAAAACTACATTCCCACACGCTCTAATATTTCTCTGATGAAATTAGGGACATCATGTTATGTTATGTTATGTTATGTTATGTTATGTTATGTTATGTTATGTTATGTTATGTTATGTTATGTTATGTTATGTTGTTATGTTATGTTATGTTATGTTATGTTATGTTATGTTATGTTATGCTATGTTACGTGTTGTTACATATTGTTATTTTTATGCTGCCCATCTGGGTCACCCCAGCCACTCTGTGTAGCTTCCAACATATGTATAAACCATAATAAAAAATTCAACATTAAAAAAGCTTCCCTGTACAGATGCTGTCTAAGGGTTGCATAGTTACTTTTCTCCTTGGCAGGGGTGTATGTGTGTGTGTGTGCATGTCACATAACTCCATACCATCCAACATTCCTCCAACAAAAATAGGGGATGTCTTAAGGAAAAGCAGGACATTCCGGGATCGAATCAGAAACCTTCTGTAAATCCAGGACTGCCCTGGAAAATAGGGACAACTTGGAGAGTCTGTATTCCAAATCCAAGAGTAAAATTTCTGAAGCATCTGAGATGCACCACCTCAGTCTAAACTCCTGATCTGTATTTAAATCAGCAATGGAAGAACTTCTAATGAATATGGGTACATACTGCTAAAAGAGTATGGTTCTGCTGAAACAGGGTAGAACTGTATTTTTAATACAGTGGTACCTTGGTTCCAAATGGCTTAGTTGTCAAACAAACTGGCTCCCGAACGCTTCAAACCCAGAAGTGTTCTGGTTTGTGAACGTTTTTTGGAAGCCGAAGATCTGACGTGTCTTCTGCTTGAGTGCAGGAAGCTCCTGCAGCCAGTCGGAAGCCGTGCCTTGGTTTTCGAACAGTTTCGGGAGTCGAACCAACTCCCGGAACGCATTAAGCTCGAGAACCAAGGTTCCACTGTACACACATTGTTCTGGCGGCCCAATTTGCCTTGGTCCTTGCCTTGCTAGACTCTTTCAACCTGTCTGGGGAGGGGGGGGCAGCTGGCCATAACCCTTCTACTGAATTTGTGGGTGTGATTAGAAATAATAATAATAATAATAATAATAATAATAATAATAATAATAATAAATTTTATTTATACCCCACCCTCCCCAGCCAAGACCGGGCTCAGGGCAGCTAACACCAGGTATAAAACAATTGATTAAAATACAACTTAAAAACAAGATTAAAATGCAGCCTCATTTCAGTAGAAACTCAAATCAAAAACTTTTTGGGGATGAAAACGTCAATTCTTCACCAAGGCCAACTATCCAGAATGGTCCTACGTGGGCCAGAAAAAAAGCCAAGGAAGTCCCCAAATAGGAGTTCCATCACAGAAGGAGAAAGGAAAAAGGATAGAGGGGAAGGTGATCAAGTTGATTCCAAGCCAAAGGCCAGGCGGAACAACTCTGTCTTACAAGCCCTGCAGCAAGAAATGAGATCCTGCAGGGCCCTGGTCTCATGAGACAGAGTGTTCCACCAGGCCGGAGCCAGTGTTGAGAAGGCCCTGACACAATACACCTCTTTATGCCCTTGCATGCCTGATTTTTGTCAAAAGAAATCACTGGTGCTGTCGGAGAAAGCAAAGTTGGGGCAAGGCAAACTGACTGTCACCTTCTGGAACCTGTGACACAAGCAGAATGGTTTTAAAACACCCACACTCACGCCTACTTCAGGCTGTGCTTTATCTTTTGGTTCTCAGGCAAGTGTTAGCTGTGCCGTAGCTTCCTGAGATCTTGTCTCCCAGGAGTGCTGCCAAGGAGATGACGCCCCAGGGAGCATCTCACACTGTTGCTATCTGGCCTTGGAAGCACCTGGTTCCCAAGCATAGACAGTGACAGCCTTGATTGCTCCCTGGGTTGCTTTCGCCTCCTCATGGGAGATGCAGACTTATCTATCACCTGGCTACTGGTGACTTGGAGGAGAACAACCACCAGGGGCTGTTTAGGGGAAGGGATAGTGGCCACGATCCCTTTCAAACACCTCACAAGATGCACCTGCGCTAGGGTCGCCCCCCGTCCCTTTGAAAAACAGGATCGCCCTGGTTTGAACAGCAGTGTCCCCTGTGCCATTTGGCCCATTTTCAAAGTCATGGAAAAATTAAAATGGGCATTAAAAGTTTTCTCCTTCGTGCACTCACCCCAACATGCTTGTCTTGTGCAGCCTAGCTTGCTAGGCACCTCAGAAGTTAAGCCGGCTGATTGATGCTCCAGGCTAGCCAATAGAGCTCAGCAGCCTGCAGCAGGCTCTTCTGGATTGGGCCGAGCTCTTGCCGATGGCTCTAAGAGGGACAAGCAAAACGTTCCCTGGAGCAGCAGCCTCAGTCCCTTCAAAGCTAAGAATTTGTCGTTATCTCTCGCCCTCGTTCTTTTTTTGGCTGGGTTTCTACATTTCTCATCTTTCTGGCAGGCAGAAATTCAGCAGGTGGGAAAGATTTCCTTTCCATATTGGATGGCTTGCAGTGACTGACAGATTCATTTGGTCATTGCAATGGATTGCTTTGAACTCATTTCTGCACCAGGTAAAAGCAAATTTTACACCCACAAATTCCCCTCTATTTTGCCTGACCTGTCCCATATTTTGCCCAAACAAAAGTGGCGACCTGCACCCTCCCCTCTTTTGTTGCCAAGCACAATGCCCCCTTTGCCCCATCTCCTACTCCTCTCTCTTGAAGGCACTTTGCAAAGCGCCGCCACCAACAGCAGGAAGCAAAATAGATCCCACAGCTCCTGTCACCATTTGTGACTGCTTAGATGTTTGCCTATGAAAGCAAAGCTCTGTACCACTTTAGGAAAACAAGAGGGCATGCCTGCACTCTCCACATCTACACTTAAGATCCAGTAACCACAGTTTTCAGTGCTGAGGACTACATGCCAGGCTGCGGGTCAGAGGCAAAAGGAGGAAGAGCAATAGATAGCATTTCTACCTCTGTACAGTGAGATAGTTTTACACTCACACACAGCCTTCTGGGGCATTATGAGACTATTCCAGCCAGGCAAACACACTCAGTGATGGCGTAAATAATAATAATGATAATAATAGTGTATTTTGTGTTTTTATATTGTGATTTTATCTTGTGAGACCGGCAGGTATAGGGTGGTATATAAATTTCAACAACAATAATATTAATTAATAATAACAATAACAATAGCAACAATAATAATGTTGCTGTTGAAATTTATATGCTACCGTATACCCGCACGTCTCAAGATAAAATCACAGTATAAAAACACAAAACCCAAAATAAAAGCAAAAGCAATAAAAGCAAAAGCAACCCAATCATCCCCTCCCAACACATTTTAAAGACATTGAATTATTTCATGTATTTTTAATTTTTTGTTGGAAGCCGCCCAGAGTGGCTGGGGAAACCCAGCCAGATGGGCAGGGTATAAATAATAAAGTGTTGTTGTTGTTAGATGTCAATCAGTCAAAGGCCTAGATAAAGAGGAACGTTTTTGCCTGGCGCCTAAAGATGTATAATGAAGGCGCCAGGCAAAACTCCCTGGGGAGAGCATTCCACAGATGGGGAGCCACTGCAGAGAAGGCCCATTCTTGTGTTGTCATCCTCCGCACCTCTTGTGGAGGGAGTGGGGCACACAAAGAAGGGCCTCAAAAGATGATCTCAGGGTCCGGGTACTATCTTCCAGGACCATCTCAGCAGTCCTGACAACAGTACTGTAAGACAGACCCCACATTAAGAATCCTATCTTATGTATGGGGGAAACTGAGGATGAGAGGCAGCAGTTTGCCAAAAGCAAAGTTAATGACAGAGGTGAGATCTGAACAGTCAGCTTCCCACTCACAGCTTGTTAACACGTTTTGGCCAAGCTCATCCACGGAAATACCATGTAGGGTAACAATACAGAAGCAAGCATCCTTGACTCCTTCAAAGTAGTGTCCCCAGCAGGCCATCTGGATTAATGTGGGCGCTCTCTATAGGTTTTTGTCTGTGTGCGGTAAGCTGTTTTTGATTCATGATACCAATGCAGTTACCAATTACAACAAAAAGCATTGTATCGCCTTACAGCAGCTGTTCTCTGTCTTGAGTCCCTAGATGTTGTTGGACTACAATTCCCATCATTCCTAGCCAGCATGGCCAGTGGACAAGGATGATAGGAGTTGTAGTTCAGTAGCATCCGAGGACCCACGTTTGAGAAAGGCTGCCTTAGGGACAAACACATTTATTATGGCACAAGCTTTCAGGAACCAGTTGAGTTGATCAGAAGCATGAAGTACTAGAGAGTTGGAAGCAATGAGGTCAGAAGGAAGTGAAGTTACATAAGGTTATTAGTGGGGAATAATTTTTACTCCCGTTCTCATGAGACAGGGATTTTGAAATCTTTATCTGAGTAAACATCTCAAAAGTTAACTTTTGGCCACTTTCAAACCCAGTGTTCTCCAGGAGGAAAACAACCCCCTTGGAAGAACTCAGTTGTTGACTCAGTGGCCAGCATCTCTGAACCCCTTCACCCTAAACAGCCACATGTGTTTTTTTTTGTCCCCTCCCCCCAAAAAAGCCTTCTTCTTAATCCTTATTAAGGTCTGAGAAAGGGGCTAAAGGGTGCAGAGGGTTGCATAAATCTGTGGGCGCTTAACAGAGTTTATTACTGGTTAACTCAGGACAACACCTCCATTTTTGTTGTTCTGTTTATCCCTCTGGAAATGGCAGGTTCCTCCACTTCCCAGGAATGTATGTTCTCAGCAGTTCCGGTTCACGCCAGAGCAGTTCAGCTGTTCCCCACATGAAGCCTGCGCCAGTTTTGGGTTTGGTCATCAACGCCCCTCTCCAGGCGGATCTTGAAAATGATCCCAGAAGAACAGCAGGCACTGTTACGTTCTCTTACCTCAACATCACAGGACTCGTGGCATTTGCCGGGATTTTCCCTGCCCAGTAGGCAAGCGTGGGAACCCGGTGACCCCCTTCCCAGGTTGTTTGCTTTGCTGAGCTCCCGCCTGCAAAATTTAAACAGAGAAAATGTATTTGTGGAGGCCTGTCTGCCAGGAGAGTTCCCAAAGAGCCAAGATCGCAAAACAAAAGCTAAATAGTTAAGAGACAGGGGGACAAGTTCTCTCCTTTTTAAAAAATGAGACAAACAATCCAATAACGGGGATGTGAAATTGTGCTAGCCCAAAACAGCGCATAACATAAATGACACAGCAGTCCTAATGATCTCATCAATTCCTTCCTCTACACTGCTTCAGTTTATTCAGCAGTGGCAACAGCAGAATGCAAAGCCTATTCAAGGTTGAATCTGGGATATTTTTAGCTTTTTCAACATGCACAGGGTGGAGACGGGGGAGACACTCCTGAAGATTATAAATGTTTACAAAGTACTGGTGCAGCACATAGCATGCTAAGCTTGAGCTCCATCCCAGTTGGGTTGGCCGAATTTGGGTTAAGTCATCATGGTCTCACAGCCACAGTAACCTTCCTTCAGGACTAGCTGTGAATGCGCACGAGGCAAAGACTTGGCATGGACAAAAAGTGTGATGTCAAATCATCTACATAAAAGCACAGTACAGTGGTACCTCAGGTTACATACGCTTCAGGTTACATATGCTTCAGGTTACAGGCTCCGCTAACCCAGAAATATTACCTCGGGTTAAGAACTTTGCTTCAGGATGAGAACAGAGATCGTGCAGTGGCGACGCAACAGCAGCGGGAGGCCCCATTAGCTAAAGTGGTGCTTCAGGTTAAGAACAGTTCCAGGTTAAGAACAGACCTCCAGAACAAATTAAGTTCTTAACCTGAGGTACCACTGTACAGTAGTACCTTGGAAGTCGAACGGAATCCGTTCCATAAGCCCGTTCTGACTTCCAAAACGTTCAGAACCTGAAGCGCAGCTTCTGATTGGCTGCAGGAAGCTCCTGCAGCCAATCAGAAGCCGCGGAAGCCCTGTCGGACGTTCGGCTTCCAAAAATAGTTCGCAAACTGGAACACTCACTTCCGGGTTTGTGGCATTCAGGAACCGAAACGTTTGAGAACTAAGCTGTTCAAAAACCAAGGAACGACTGATAGATGGGGGGTAGGGAAGCAAGTGCAAATCCTGCTGTGGAGTCTGGAGTCACTGCCAGGACGAGGGGCAGAGCAGGGAGGGAATGACAGCTGTGGCTGAGAGAAGGAAGCGAGGACAGGCTTGTCGGAGAGTGGGCTTGGACCGCTCTGCCATAACACAAAGGAACACGGGAAGCTGCCTTAGACCAAGTCAAAAGTTAATCTGGTTTTGCATTGTCCACCTTGGAGTGTCAGTGGCTTCCCCAAGATTTCAGAGAGAAGTTTCTCCCAGTCCTACTTGGAGACGAGGGGGGCTGCATCTGGGACTTTCTGCATGCAAGGAAGATGTTCTAACACTGAGCTATGGCCTCTAACGCGTACACTCGCAGCAGCAGCAAAAACATGGCTTGAGAGACAGTGCAGCTGCCAAAGGATGAAGAGAGGTGGGTGGGAAGGCTGAGCTCTGATCCAGGAGATGCAAAGGTTCTCCGATGACAACAAAAAGAACACATGGGAGCAGGTGCCCCGCCTTAAAAACTTTTTATTCCACTTTCAAGATTTAGGAAGAACACCTTCGCCTTCCATTGTACTTTTTATAATTAGTTTCAAAAGCTGCTCAGCTGTTTTCAACCACTGGAACATCCACATTTTTTCTCATTGCCTAAGTCAGATAGGAGGCATACAGGAAACACTTTAATTGATTCCGATTCAGTTCTGCTTGCACATCTAGTCCTGAGGGGCTAGGCAGAGATGGGCTTGTCTGCGCTTTGTTTGCCCAACAAGATTTGGAAATGTTTGGTACGTGGAGCTGTTACATCCAGACTACATAAACATTTGCCGTATTTTTCGCCCTATAAGACACACTTTTCCCCCTCCAAAAATGAAGGGAAAATGTGTGTGCGTCCTATGGGGCGAATGCAGGCTTTCGCTGAAGCCTGGAGAGCGAGGGGGGTCGGTGCACACCGACCCCTCTCGCTCTCCAGGCTTCAGGAAGCTATCCGCTAGCCGTGGGAGACCCAGCTCTCCCACGGCTAGCGGAGACCTTGCAGGCACCCAGAAGCTTGGGGCGCGCTGAGCTCAGCACGCCCCAACCTTCGGGCTTAGCGCAGCGCACCTGGGAGGGGAAGAATTTTTTCCCCTTTATCCCCCCCCCCAAAAAAACTAGGTGCATCCTATGGGCTGGTGCATCCTATGGGGCGAAAAATACGGTATATAACCATGTCAGACCGTGCTGCTTTGTTTAAAAATGATCTCTCCTGCTGCTGCTGCTGCTGCTGCTGCTGCTGCTGCTGCTGCTGGTGCTGCTGGTGCTGGCAAATTGTTTTTATTTAACAAAATGTATACAGTGATACCTTGGGTTACAGACACTTCAGGTTACAGACTCCACTAACCCAGAAATAGTACCTCAGGTTAAGAACTTTGCTTCAGGATGAGAACAGAAATCGCGGGGTGGCAGTGCGGTGGCAGCGGGAGGCCCCATTAGCTAAAGTGGTATCTCAGGTTAAGAACAGTTTCAGGTTAAGAACGGACCTTCAGAACGAATTAAGTTCTTAACCCGAGGTACCACTGTAAGTTGCTTGATTGCGGCAAAAATCTCTTAAGCAGTTTAGAAGAAGTTTCAAAATTACCTGGACAGTTTTAAATATTGAAAAACAATTAACATAAAAAGATTTTAGGACACATTAGCGCCTAAACATTTGCACAAAATTGTTCTAAGCAGGCCCTGAAAACAGTACAGGGAAGGTGTCTGCCTCATGTCAACAGGCAGGTGCTGCCACACTAAAAGACTGATTTCTTACAATTGTAAGCAGCATCTAAAAGCAGCCGTGTTTAGGGAAGTTTTTAATGTTTGATCTTTTACTGTATTTTAAATATTCTGTTGGGAGCTGCCCAGAGTGGCTGGGGAAACCCAGCCAGATGGGCAGAGTCTAATTAAATTTATTATGATGATTATGATGCTTAATTGTGGAAGGGGAATTATGTGGTTCCTGTAACAGTGCCAGTTCCGCAGTTCAGAATAGTGGAATGGGCACAAAAGGGCTTCAGGTACCAACAGTGACACCTTGAATTTGGCCTGGTAACAAGCGGGCAAGCGGTGCCATTCTCGAAGCAGAGGTGTTACATGCAGACAATCACTTGCTCGTGTCAGCAACCGTGCTGAAGCATTCTGAATTAACTGCGGCTTCTGCATTGCAGACCTCTGGGTTATGTAGGCTGCTTGACCAATGAAGGCTCTCCCTACCCCAATGTAGAACCCTGATTGTCACATGATAGGCTCCACTCTACAGATGTGCCACTCAATGCATGAATGGTGGGAGTATAGTATGGGAACCAGTCATATTAGAAAAACTAACTAATAAACTGAAACTGACAGGGGGACAAATGGAAGATGACGCCTCCACCCGGTTATGGCTCCCCTTTATCACATACACAGCCCAACAAGACAATGACAAGTATCCACCAACAGCATACGAATCAATATGGCTAACCTGATTCAAAAACACCCACCCACCCCACTCACACATGAAAAGGAAGTTCACCACAGCCAACCACAAACAAACAACCACACCCTAGGCCAGGCTTCCTCAACCTTGGTCCTCCAGATGTTTTGAGACTACAGTTCCCATCACCCCTGACCACTAGTCCTGCCAGCTAGGGATCATGGGAATTGTAGGCCAAAAACATCTGGAGGGCCAAGGTTGAGGAAGCCTGCCCTAGGCCAACCCCAATCTCTCTCACCACCAAAGGAACACAAGCGAATAGTAAAAGAGAACCTGCACAAGCGACGCTGACACAAAACCCCACACATACATTAAGTAAAATAGAAACATGGCCACCCCACCCCACCCCCACTCACCATGGCCCCCTCCACCTCTTTCCCCCTTTTCTTTCTAATGTAACACTAATGTCTCAACAATTGAAACTGATCTGTAGAAAATGCAACTTGAAAAAAGAGGCATTGCACTTACTTCTGTAAACCAAGAAATCTTTAATAAAAAATACGTGGGGGGGGGGGGAATGAATGTGGAAGTAGGTAGAGCTGCCCCAAATGCAATCATGGTTGAGGTCCTGATCTCCACCTCACAAAACTGATAAGCTCTGGGGAAGGGAGGGAGGAGGTCAAATAGGATTAGAGAACTTTGAACTCAATTTTTCCCCTGGCCCCACCATCTAACACAGTATTTTCCAAGCTTGGTTCTCCAGCTGTTGTTGGACTACAACTCCCATCATCCCTGGCTAGCAGGACCAGTGGTGAGGGATCATGGGAATTGTAGTCCAGAAACAGCAGGCAACTCAAATTTGGGAAAGACTAGCAACACCCAGCCTCTATGTACAAGCTGGAAAACTACACCTTCGCAGCCTAGGTTTGGATACGGCTGCCTAAAACCCTGGCAACACTCCTCACATTCAAGCTGAAGAGAGAAAAGAGATGTTTGCTGCTTTCTGTTGTGGTTACATTGGCTAATTGTTTTTGTTTTGTTTTTAATGGAAAGGCTCTGCTTCGCAAATAGGCTAAATGAAACAAACTCAATTCAACTGACTTCCTGCCCCTCCCCTTCCAAAATCAAAAACGACGAGTGCTTGTTGACAAGCTCATTCACCTCCCTTCCCCAAAGCACAGTGTCTGTAAACACAAAGGGTACAAATTGCACCGGCCCTAATAAGGGGCTTTTTCTGGACCAACTCTGTGCTGAAGTGCCCATCCACGCAAAATAACACAGGCCTGTGGCATTTGTTTCAATAATCAAATGTTATGCAAGCATGCTGTTGCATTAAATTACAAAGGCCAAGGCTTCTGGGGGAAATCTGACGGAGGAGAGAAAACAGAATGTTTCCTTGTAAGGAAGAGGGGGTGGGGATGGACAAACCCAAAACACCCCCTGGAAAGGCCCAAAATGGAAAATTACCAGGGCATGGGATGCCACTTGATTTATTGCACGCATAACTTTTTGCCAGG